TAGAACACGATGCTTTGTTATGGATAATGAAATGATTGTTGGTCAAGCACACTGGTGTGTCTCCTGTGAGTACCTAGGAAAGAATATTGGAAATCTATGGTTGTTAATTCCATCATATGACTGTGTCACTGACAACAGTTCTCACCCTAAACACTAGATTCCACATGTATTTCCTACATCGTGGGTAATTTTGACATATATCTTTCCATTTTCAATGGATACCTGGCCCTGACCCCTGACCCCTGACCTCTGGCCACCTGACCCTAGAAACCACTGTCCTGCTCTTTTCAATATTTTGGCTTCTTTAGAACCCATGTACTTTCCTCACTAATGGAGTCTTTTCTTCCTGTCTACATTATCTCATTGTACATAAATGCAATGGACTGGTATTCAGTCTTTCAACGGAGATGCCGCCATTTGCAGCAACATGGATGAACCTGGAGTACATATTTACCCACTGGCTACATTCATATTTAACATAGGACTCTTGTCCCCAGTGTGTGTGAATACACCACATTTTCTCTACTCATTCATCCATGTTCTTGTCTGGCTGTGTGTGTGTGTGTGTGTGTGTGTGTGTGTGTAGAGAGAGAGAGAGAGAGACACAGAGACAGAGACAGAGGCAGAGGCAGAGAGACGCCTTCTTCTACGTCTCTCTACCTTACTGCCTTGAGACAGGGTCTCTCACTGAAACAGAAGTTTGCTGATTTAGCTGGGCTGATATTGGTCAAGGAGGTCTCAGGATTCACCTGATTCCATTCCCCAGTGTTGGGGTTACAACTACACATAGACATGCCTGGCTTTTTACATGAGCACTGGGGATAAACACTCAGGTCTCTATATGTGTAGACAAGTGCTCTTGCCCCACCAAGCCATCTCCACGGTCCCAAGGATATGCCTTAACTCATGGAAACTCACCTAAGATCATCAGAGGCATGCAAAATTAAACTACAGGGAGCTATACCTCACACTTACTAGAATGACTATTGTAGAAAAAAGAAAAAAGGCAAGGAGTATGTGTTGGAATGGTTTGTGGGGAAAAAAGAGACATTTGTAGATCTACAGATTGGCATGACCAATGGAAGAGTGCATATCCATCCAAAACTAGAAAGGAACTCTAAATCTCAAAGAGACAACTGCACTGTAGGCTCCTCTCAGCTTCATTCACACTGCCAAGCTGGAGAAACTAACGGACCCGTGAAGGAAGAAATCTGTCCCCAGTGGAAGACCCAGCCATGGCAGGAGGGAAATCCTGCCCTTATGCAACACGGTGGGGCCCTGTGCTAAGTGGAAAAACCCAGCAGAGAAAGACAAATGCTGCACTGACCCTCAGAGGTAGCATGAGAGAGTCCAGCTCATGCAATCAGAGGGTAGAATCGTGGCTCTCAGGGGCAAGAGGAGATCGGGCAAATGAAGAGATGTTGGTCAAGGCATAAAAAACTCAAATAGTGTGAGTGAAACAGACTGGGGAGACAGAAAGTGACACACAGTGACTACATACTTAAGAATCTGCCGTGAAGTGGATCTTAAGTGTTCTCACTAACAAAAATGAGTACAGGAAGTAAAGGATGTGCTCATCAGGGGATGCTGATCGTTCCCCGCGAACCCATGCAAAGCATGACATTTGGCATTACGCAACTATATAATATTCTTATGTATAAAATCCAAGTCGCACACCTTAAATATACAATTTGCATTTTTTAATTATACTTCAATAAAGCTGGGAAAAAAGAAAGCACTCACAAAGGACCACATATTATAGGGTTTCATTTATGTTCCAAATAGGCAATTTATAGAGACAGAAGAGTAGATTAGCAGTTACCTATGACGGAAAGGAGAGCCACTAGGGAACGACCGCTAATAGATAAGGTGTTTCTTTGTGGGGGTGATGAAAAAGTCTGAAAATTAGATTATGTTAATGGATGCATGATTTTGCAAGTATAGGAAAAACAATTTAATTGTGCACTTTACAGCATATAAATTACGCCCCAATAAACCTGTTTAAAGCAGAGAAAACATAAATAAGTTGCTTTTTAAAATGAAATCAACAAAGTTGCTTTGTTGTAGATTACATTGCACTTTGTGCAAGGAGCAACAGAAGGAATTGTAATAAAATCTGCTTGGCTGGGCACACGAAAGAAGATGCTCCGCGTGCGTTAGTAAACACCTGCCTGGCTCCTCGCCCGTGAACTTGATGATTCTTTTCCTCTCTAGTTCCTGTATTTACTTCTCTTTTCAGTCCACTTTCACTCAGCAAAAGTAAAAGACCTTAACCTCATCTAGGAACGGGATTGAGGGACCATTCGGTAGAGATAGAAAGGCTGTAACCGTGAGCTCAGAGTACCCAGGCATCAGGATTTTCATCCCAATGGGAATTTATGCAAGTTCCAGAGCATTTTAAGTATCTACATCTATATTTTACCTCAAGGCCCTCATAGGCTGTTTATGATTACAGGCTTCTCTAGTCAGATAGCAGCACACAAAGGGTGTGGAGAGTGTTTATGTATATACCTTCCTTTGTCTAAACAGTTAAGGCGTCTTTCATATTTTAATTAGGTGTATATGGGAAGCAGAGTGGAAACCTGCCTGTGAATGTATAATCCAGAAAAGGGCTTTTGGATCCCGTGGAGGTAGAGCTACAAGCAGGAGCAGGGCGTACTCTTACCCACTAGGCCGCCTCTCAGGGCCACCTGAGATCAGCTTACAGGGTGGGTAGAAACCCCCGCCACTCCTCCGCATTAACTTCCCCTTTTGGTACTCCTTTCAAAAGCTTCATCAGATAGCACAGCAGCCAATCTTTGTAAAACTCACTTTTAAAGTGCTCCTAAGTTTATGGGTGTAATGAGAACATGAATTTAGGCAAAATTATGCATAATTTCAGAAGCAAAAATTGTCATTATGACCAAAAGTCATAAAATATATACAACTCTTTGATCCAGAGAGTCTTATTCTTAAAATGAATCCTTCAACACTTACAGTGTGTTTAGACTGCACCTGGGAAGTTTGTCCTTATGACAGTTATGAGGGAAGGCTGGAAGCAAGCTTGATGTCTATGGCTTCATATTTTTAAATGAATAACAGCAAGTTAGAAGAACATTATTCAGTTTTTAATAATGAGCCAATAAAAACATAAGTTTCATGCATGCTAAAGCATTTAGACTATCATTAGATTTTATAAATCCTGCACAGAATGTGTATGTGTGACATCTTCTTGGGTCTTAAGGATATGTACGTGAATGTGTGTGTGTGTGTATATATATATGGATCTCGCCATTAGGTTGCTATCATTAATCCGTTATCTGTGGACAAGTAAATTGGGGTATATGAGCTGTTAAAGGAAATGTGTCATACATGAAACAAAAGGGATGGAGGTAAAATCAAACTACAGTGAACATAGCTCCTTTGGCCAGAGTTGATATAGCTTTTGCTTTAAATATGTTGCAACCACAGGAGGTTTGGTATATCTTATTATGAAAAAGCCCTCATTTGCACTACTTCAAATGAACGCTGTACACCAATTAGCTATTGTACTTCTAACTTAAGTGTGAGCTCCTTAAAAGTTCACATCAGGTTCCTGAGGCTGTAAAGGTGTGCCGTTTGCTGAGTCTGAAAAGTCCTTGTGTGATCTCCTCTGGTTCATTGAGTCAGCACGCACCCGGTTCACAGCGTGACTGTGGGCAGTGTTTCTAATTAGGCTGCCCATAAGCATGTGCTGAGACATGGCCTGGGAATCCTGGTCTCCCTGCATCACAGCTTTGCAAGCCTGCACGCTTGGTGCCGCCGCTATGCTGATGTTCATAAGCCGTCTGCAAAACACAAACTCTATGTTTCCCCCATTGCTTGCTTCTGGCTTGCTGCCCAATTGCTGTGGTTTACATGGGCACTACTGAGAGCCTCGGTGACACCAGGACAGCCACTAAAAGTCATAATTTCTTTTCTGTACCAGCCATGGATTTTCTGGCTGACTCGTGGAAATCACTGTTTGGTAGGCACTACCAGCGATATCTCTTTTGCTTACGTTTAACCCAATTTGTTCCTTACTGGTTCTTCATGGTCAGAAGAAAAGATCGCCTCCACCTGAATAATTTCAGGTGCCCCACTACGTTTAGGTTACAGCCTGTGGTGGCCCTGAACAAGTTTCTTGCCTTCTCTATGCCTCTATGTCTTTCGTTTTACTACTGGGACCTGTTTTGAGGGGCTGGGGTTACAGCGCAGTGGTACAGCATTGCCTAGCATGCCCAAGGTCCTGAGTTTGGTCCCCAACAGGAAAAAGGAAATAAAATAAAATAATGAAATAAAGTTGGGTTTGAAAGTACGTGCCTGTAAACTCAGCATTTGGAGCCAACCTGGGTTACACAGCCTCAAAAGAGGGAAAAGAGAAGAATATCCCCCGAATCTCATTTCCCCACCTGCCTTCTACCCGTGCACATGACGCGCTCCGACTAAACCGTCACTGTAAGAGTTCACGCAGTCTTATGATTTTGATTCCATGGCCATGAAAGCCTGAAATCCAAAGTCTCCATAGAGCGCCAGCATTACAGCTGGAGTGGAAAAATCCACATCACCAAACTGTTTCATAAACAAAGTCGTCTAAAATGTACAAGATTGCCTTCTAGCTGTGCATGTATGGGGTGGGTGAGACATAAATTAAAGAACTATATCTCCAATATCGCGTTGTATACAAAACTACTTTAAAAAAAATTAAAGCCAAAAGACTTCCAGCTCCAAGCATTTTTAAAAAGGGTTACCCAAATGGTATTTGGTATATGGAACAGTGAAGTCCATCTGATCATTCAACAAGGTAATGGATGTAAAATCGAAACAATAAAACTCCCTTATTGTCCTGAGTATACAGAATCTAACGCGGCCTCAGCACTTTGAGTTCTCGTGAATTCTTTCTCAGTAAGTCAGTCCCTTGCATAGGAGGCTGGGCAATCTTACTGACCGACCTCAGGACGGATATACTTTATGTTGCAGGAGATCTGGCCCCTTTACTATACCTTAGAGTACATTGGTTTCCCATTCTCATAGTGAATCTCCACGTAGTCAGAAGACAGCAAACCACTGCAAAAGGAAAGAAAAAGAAAGAGTGAATTCTGCATCCAAATGCTAGAGGTTTAAAGATAGCTCGATAATGGAGGAGAGGAGCAGGGAAAGCGCAGACTACAGTCAGAGAAAAGCAGTCTGGGGTCAAGTCTCCAGACAACATCCAGGGAAGCAGGAAGAGAAAGAAAGACAGGAGGGGAGGGAGGGAGGGAGGGAGGGAGGGAGGGAGGGAGGGAGGGAAGGAGGGAGGGAGGGAGGGATCAAGGAAGGAAGATCCTTCAGTCTACTGAGGAAGATAAAACATAGTCAATTTGAGGGAAACCCTTAGATTCAGCACCTGATAGACCTGTCAGTCAAACTAAGCTGCATGTAGAAAACAAGCCCTATTAAACACACACGATTATGCTCTAATGGATCATTGGGGAGGAATACAGAAAAGATCTGGCAAACATTCCCCATAAAGGCCAAATAGTAAACCCTGTGGCTCTGCCAGCGCTGTGGTCCCTGAGGTAACAATTGAGTTCGCCATCCTATCAACAATACATAGACAAATGAGTGTGGCTGTGTCCCAGTAACATTTTATTTGTGGAGAATCATATCTGGATCTCATAAAATTATAATGTACTATGAAATGGTATTACTTTGAATTTTAAAATCCGCTTGGAAATGCATAGAGCCATCAAGAAAGTCCAATGGGAAAAAGCACTTGCCACACAAACCTAACAAGCTGAGGTCAATCCCCAGGTCCACTGGGAGGAGAGAACTGGCTACTATAAGCTGAGGTCAATCCCCAGGTCCATTGGGAGGAGAGAACTGGCTACTGTAAGTTGTCCTCTGACCTCCACATGTGTGCCCTGGACACACACACACATTCTACTTCACACCACAAAACACAATAAAAATAAATTCTAATTTAAAAAATTAACAACATAAACTTGGAAGTCAGAGCAGGTTTTAGACCTAGCACAGTCCACAGATGAAGGTGTTGCCACAGGCAAGTTTCACCAACTTGTGTAAAATACAATTGTCAAAAATATGAAAGTCACAGGGCACTGTGAAGAAAAATTGACTAAGTTAAACCACAAATATGCATCACTTAGCCTGGAAATCATCACTGAGTGCTCAGTGTTGGGCACTGTGACTGTCGCTGCTGTCACTTTAACTCAAGTTTTAAAAGTGCATTCTCCTGGAAACAACCTAAATGTCCCTCCACTGAAGAATGGATAAGGAAAATGTGGTACATTTACATAATGGAGTACTACACAGCAGAAAAAAATGACATCTTGAAATTTACAGGCAAATGGATGGATCTATAATACATCATATTGAGTGAGGTAACCCAGACCCAGAAAGACAAATATCACATGTACTCATTCATAAGAGGCTTTTAAAGATAAATCAAAAAAAAAAAACCAGCCTACAAATCACAATCCCAGAGAATCTAGACAACAATGATGACCCTAAGAGAGACATATGTAAATCTAATCTGCTTGGGAGGTATGAAAAGACAAGATCTTCTGAGTAAATTGGGACCATGGGGACCATGGGAGAGGGTTGAAGGGGAGGGGAAAGGAAGAGCAGAGAAAAATGTAGAGCTCAATAAAAGCAAGTTTTTAAAAAGAGCATCTTTTAAAAAAAATGCATTCTCCCCAATGGAAGTGTGAAATAAGCACTTGGTCACGAGACTGGAGGAAGACTTTTGAGTGGCCGTGCGCTGTTGATAAGGACAATGCCTCAGGCCCATGGGAATGGGCACAGCCCTTCTGTGTCTGCTTGAAAGTGTTGGTAGTGTGCACAGGAAGTGCTGGTAGTGTGCACAGGAAGTGTTGGTAGTGTGCACAGGAAGTGCTGGTAGTGTACACAGAAAGTGTTGGCAGTGTGCACAGGAAGTGTTGGTAGTGTGCACAGAAAGTGTTGGTAATGTGCGCAGGAAGTATTGGTAGTGTGCACAGAAAGTGTTGGCAGTGTGTACAGAAAGTGTTGGTAATGTGCACAGGAAGTATTGGTAGTGTGCACAGGAAGTGTTGGTAGTGTGCACAGGAAGTGTTGGTAGTATGCACAGGAAGTGTTGGTAGTGTGCACAGGAAGTGCTGGTGGTGTGCACAGGAAGTGTTGGCAGTGTGTACAGGAAGTGTTGGCAGTGTGCACAGGAAGTGCTGGTAGTGTGCACAGGACGTGTTGGTAATGTGCGCAGGAAGTATTGGTAGTGTGCACAGAAAGTGTTGGCAGTGTGTACAGAAAGTGTTGGTAATGTGCACAGGAAGTATTGGTAGTGTGCACAGGAAGTGTTGGTAGTGTGCACAGGAAGTGTTGGTAGTATGCACAGGAAGTGTTGGTAGTGTGCACAGGAAGTGCTGGTAGTGTGCACAGGAAGTGTTGGCAGTGTGTACAGGAAGTGCTGGCAGTGTGCACAGGAAGTGCTGGTAGTGTGCACAGGAAGTGTTGGCAGTGTGCATAGGAAGTGTTGGTAGTGTGCATAGGAAGTGTTGGCAGTGTGCACAGGAAGTGTTGGCAGTGTGCACAGGAAGTGTTGGCAGTGTGCACAGGAAGTGTTGGTAGTGTGCACAGGAAGTGTCCAGCAGCTTCCTCCTTGAGGTGGTTCCCCAACAGAAGCCTCCTACTGAGACTAACTCCTTCCCACAGTGCTGTACATAGCAAGCACTGGAACAAGGAGGTTCCAGGTTGTTGAGCGGCTGGTGCCCCAACATCAGAACAAACATGGCATCCTGATTCCAGCTTCTCCAGACACCTGTGTGTCTGTCCTTCCTTCATCCCTTCATCGCTCCAGTCAGATTTCAGAACCCAGCGCAGGGTGCTCTGTGCCCACCTAAGAGTGCTGGATTAGAACACCTGAATGGTGACAGCGACCCTGGAACAGTGGGGGCTTCCTCCCAGATCCCCAGATTAGGCACAAACCATACCCAAATACCTGTTTTCCCAGAGAGATCCTTTATTAAGGGGAAGAGAAGTTAAGTGGCTGCTTTCTGACTTGAGCAGAAAAACAGCAGCAAATGACCTTGCAGGTGTCATTTTTAAGAAGAGAAAAGGGGAGGTCTGTGCTAGAACGGGCTAGGATGCGGTGGTAAAGAGATAAGCGACAAAGGAGAAGGGAAAGGGACAAGGGGAAGGGGAGAAGGGGCATCTGTCCTGGATTGGCAGAGGACTGCCTCTGGACAGAGGGAGGAGATGTGGCGCATAAGCAAAAGGCAGTTTATAAAAGTAAATGGAGAAGGCCCGTGTTAGGATGAGGTGTTTAATAACTGGGCATGTTAATTAGGTGAACCAAGGGGTGCTTTCGATAGCTGGACTTTGGTATTCAGCCTCAGGAGGAGAAAGTCAAATAAAGGAACAGGCCTGGTGGTTAGCTTTAGGAACGCAATCTCATGGTTTTCAGAAATGAAGCGGGAATGGGGGAGCAGGACACGGTCTGCCACAGCCACCCTTGCCATGCTCAAGCTGGCCAGAGTCCTTCGAGTGTCTGTCCAGATCTGCCACCAGGAGTAACCACAGGAGTGACAGGTCACACTATGGGACACTTACTCCTTCATCTTCACGACACACACGTGTTCTAACCATGGGTCTGTTTCCTCTTCTACAAAACGGAAGCCTGCAACAGGTGACTCTGCAGGGCCCGCCCTGCTCAGACACGCTGACCTTCTAGAAGTCACTCGTTTGTTTGTTGGTTGGTTTTTCAAGAAAGAGTTTCTCTGTAGCTTTAGAGCCTGTCCTAGAACTAGTTCTTGTAGACCAGGCTGGCCTTGAACTCACAGAGATCAGCTTGTTTCTGCCTCCCGAGTGCTGAGATTAAAGGTGTGCGCCACCACCGCCCAGACCTCTAGAAGTCACTCTTAACAGTAGGTTTGTTTGTAAGGAAACTTCAAACGACTGTGACTGGAGAATGGGAGGACTCTGTGATTCTGTGTATAGTTCAGATCAATACCTGATGTACCCTTATGTGACTCCATAGGAGGCTTGGGAACGGATGCTCCGAGCCTGACAGCAGTTAGCTAGGAACCTGCCCTACATCTAGCATGCCCTGTGTGCACCCAAGGAGAGTTTTTACAACACAAATAACATAGTAAATAACATGGTGACTGTGGTGGTTTGAATGGCCTCCACGGGCTCATATGTTTGAATACTTGGTCCCCAATTGGTGAAACTGTTTGGGAAGGATTTGGAAGTGTGGCCTGGTTAGAGGAGATCACTGGGAGTGGGCTTTGAGGTTTCAAAAGATATATGTACCCACTCATTCCCAGTGAGCGCTCTCTCTCTCTCTCTCTCTCTCTCTCTCTCTCTCTCTCTCCCCTCTCTCCTCTCCTCTCCCCCCTCTCTCTCCCCTCTCTCTCTCACTCTCCTCTCTCTCTCCTCTCCTCTCCTCTTCCCCCTCTCTCTCCCCTCTCTCTCTCCTCTCCTCTCCTCTCTCTCTCCCCCCTCTCTCCCCCTCTCTCCTCTCCTTTTCTTCTCTCTCTCTCTCTCTCTCTCTCTCTCCCCTCTCTCCTCTCCTCTCCCCCCTCTCTCTCCCCTCTCTCTCTCACTCTCCTCTCTCTCTCTCTCCTCTCCTCTCCCCTCTCTCTCTCTCCCCTCTCTCTCTCCTCTCCTCTCCTCTCATCTCTCTCTCCCCCCCTCTCTCCCCCTCTCTCCTCTCCTTTTCTCCTCTCTCTCTCTCTCTCTCTCTCTCTCTCTCTCTCTCTCAGATGTAAAGTCTTAACTGTTTCTGTTGTCAAAACTTTGCTCTGCCATCATGAATCCTCACCTCTGACACAGCAATCTGATCACAGGCTTTCTTTTCTAAGTGGCCTTGGTCATGGGGGTTGTCACAGGACCAGAAAGGGAACTAAGACAGTATCTATACTTAGACATGTTTCCATGTCCACCCAAATGACCCCTGACATTCCAAGAAGTCACATTCATATCATTCCCAGCGGCTCTGAGCTGTCAGTTCATTTAACTAACTAGTTCAGGCAGCTGATGCTGGGCACCACGCGAACTCAGTTTCTAACCAAGCCTGCCCCCTCCGT